CCATCTTGCACGCCGCTGCGAATGCTGCTCTCAATCGCATCCACCAGCGCCACCAGCTCGCCCTGTGGGCCCCACACCTCCAGCGCCAGCAGCACATACTCCGCACACCTGGCATGGGGAAGAGGCAGCGAAATGGGAGGTGTGAGTGGAATAGGGGAACGATCAAGCCAGCTCGCCCTGTGGGCCCCACACCTCCAGCGCCAGCAGCACACACATACTCCGCACACTTGGGAGAAAAGGAGGGGGGGGGGAGATGGAAAAGAAGAGGAGAACGGATACAGAGAACGTCACCAGCTTCTTGACCTATGTTGGTGCAGGGGTCAAGTAACAGGGCATGCCAGCATATTCTAAGAGCTCTGAACGACGTTACAAAAACTTTTCTTACAGTGCACCTCCCCCTAACCTTCCCATCGCCTATTGCCCTTCCCCTTCCCTTTCCCCTTCCCCTAACCCATAGCCGTACCCCGATCCAGATCGACACGAAACGGGAGGTTTGCTGCTCACTGAGAGTTAGGTCAGAAGACCTACCCCATAGCCCTACCCCTGTCCAAATCGACACGAAATGAGTCAAACCCAAACCCACCTGTTCCTCACACGACTGTGCCTTTTGACGCCCGGGCCATCTCAAACACCTTGCTCAACGCAACCAACACCCCCTACCCTCCATCCCGCATTGCATCCACCTGCTCCTCACAACTGTGCCTTTTGACGCCCGGGCCGTCTCAAACACCTTGCTCAACGCAGACAACACCCCCTACCCTCCATCCCGCATAAATACGTTACAGTAATTTTTCTCACTGCATACCGCATTGTACCCACCTGCTGTCTCAAACACCTTGCTGCCCATGCTCGGCCCCTCACCATTGTATAAGCCAAACCCACACGCACCTGCTTCGCAAGACTGTGCTCTATACACCCACCTGCTTCTCAGAACCGTGCTCTTTGATGCCCGAGCTGTCTCCAACACCTTGCTCAGCGTGCGGGCGGGCCTGCAACGGATCACCACCTGATAGGACGATTGGGTTGAACGGGCAAGGTAGAAACAAAACACAGAAACAAAATGGTAAGAATGCAACACAACAGAACGAACTAGATGATGTGTTCGGGACAATGCCCAGCGCGCAGCGCGCATCATGGGAATAGGGATAACGAAGGGACGGAGGCACGGAAGGGGAAGGCAAGAGGACGGGGGCGGGGACGGGGACGGGGACGGGGACGGGGACGGGGACGGGGACGGGGATGGGGATGGGGACAAGGAGGGGAGATTAGAGCAGAGCGATAGAGAGAGATAGCACGAGATGGAGGTGACACAACACAGGGGCGAGGAGTCAACCATAACAGGCGCGTTTTCTGAGGCGCCTCAAAAGTACTCACAATGCGGATGGGGGAGTTTGCAGTGTGGGCCATAACAGGAGCGCTCTCTGGGGTACCTCAGACATACTCACGAGGCACGATGCGGATGGTGGAGGAGTCTCGTTCTGTGGCGCCTCTCAAAAGGACTCACAATGCGGATGGTGGAGTCTGCTGAGTCGGCCATAATAGCAGCGGACGATCCCAGGAGCTTCATCAATTCCTGGTGGCCAGAGGAGGGTGGCGGAGGGGGGACGGAAGGCAGACAAAATGGGGAGGGGCAGGTTAGGGTTTGGTCTGGAAGGGATCTTAATAATGAGGTGGACGACCGACCCCAGGAGCAGAAGCGTAACGGAGGGGGACGGTGGAGTGGGAAGGAAGACAGGCAACATCAGGAGGAGCAGGTTACGGTTTGGTCTTGAAGGGGTTTAAAAATGGGAGCGGACGACTGACTCCAGGAGCTTCATCGGCTCATGGTGGGTGGAGGAGGGTGGCGGAGGGGGGTTAAGAGGTACAGAACATGGGGAGGAGCAGGTTAGGTTTTTGAGGTCTCATAATCATGTGCGGATGACCAACCCCAGGAGCTTCATCAGCCCTTGGTGGGTGGAGGAGGGTGGGAGACAGAGCACGGAAAGTAGTAGGTTAGGGGGTGTCTGAGAGGAATATTCAAATCAGGAGCAGATCACCGATCTGAAGCGCTTCAGTAGCTCCTGATGGGTGGCTAGGGGAAGGAGACATGTGACATGGGGAGCATGTTAGGGTTTGGCGATGACACATGATCTATGATTTGTCGACACAGGAACTGACGGGCACGTGTTATCTGGGTGGGAAAATGCGTGATGACAGGGAAGATCACTGACATGAAGCACGATATCCGCGCATGCTTCGAACTCCCCTGACAGGCACTCAGCGATTGCTGACACGAGGTTGCACGCCTGCAATCAGAAACAAACGCGTGTGCAGTCAGAGACACGCACGTGCAATCAGAGACATGCACGTGCAACCTAAAACTCCAAGTTCGACCCCGGTACTCTGTTTTGTCACGCATCTACCCTATTATTCACCCGCGACGGCAGGTTGGCATCAAGGAGCACCGCGACGGCAGGTTGACAGCGTGACTACGGGCTGCACTCCCTCGACTTCTCCACCGCATTCTTGCAGGGCAGCCTTCACGAGGAGATATGGCTGCACCGCCCACCTGCCTTGACTAGGTCGTTTCCTGAGGGTACCCAGTGGAGCCTCCGGCGGCCATTCTACGGTTTCCGCCAGGCGCCCCGAGAGTCGCACGACACATTGAGGACTACACTTGCGGCTCTTGGTTTTGCTCCTTCCTCTGCTGACCCGTCGCTGTTTCTATGCACCGACACTACCCTGCCGCTGTTCTACGTTCTCGTGTACGTCGACGGCTTGGTTTTTGCTACTGCTGAGGATGAGGTGCTGACCCTAGTGAAGGCGGAGCTGCAGGAGAGACACTCCTGCACTGACCTGGGTGAGCTGCGTAGCTGTCTTGGCTTGCAGATCACCCGGAACAGAGCACGCCGCACCATCACCCTCACTCAGTCACACATGGTGCACCAGGTCCTTTAGCACTTCGGCTTCCAGTTCTCCTCGCCACAGCCCACTCCTCTGTCTACCGGCCACTCGCTCTCAGCTCCACCTTCGGACGAGTCCGTAGAGCCGAGTGGTCCGTACCCAGAGCTTGTGGGTTGCCTCATGTACCTGATGACGTGCAAACGACCTGACCTCGCGTACCCTCTCAGCCTCTTTGCTCGCTTCGTGGCTCTCGGTAGACACCGAAAGATGCACTGGGATGCTGCAAAGAGGGTACTGCGTTACTTGTGCAGTACATCGGGCATGGGGCTTGTGCTTGGAGGACGGGATTCAGTGGTACTCACAGGACACTCCGACGCTTCTTGGGCCGACGACCAGACGACTCAGCGTTCGTCACAGGGTTACACCTTCAATCTTGGCTCTGGTTCTGTCTCGTGGAGGTCCACTCGTTCTTCTTCTATGCTTGGTTCCAGCTGTTAGGCTGAGATCCACGCTGGGGCCGTGGCTGCACAGGAGCTACGCTGGCTGACCTACCTGCTGACCGACTTGGGGGAGCGGCCTCGTTCTCCTCCAGTTTTGTACGTCGACAACAAGGCAATGCTTGCCTTGTGTCACGAGCAGAGACTGGAGCACAGAACGAAGCACATTGCTCTTCGCTACTTCCTTGCGTGTGATCTGCAGCAGCGTCGTCAGCTCCGCCTTTCCTACGTGGCCTCACGGGCCAACACTGCTAATGTGTTCACCAAGGCCCTTGGGTCTGGTGATCATCAGCGTTTCTGCACTGCTCTTGGGCTTGTGCCCACTCTGCCTCACCTGCTGGTTGCTTGACTTGCTCTTGTTGTACACTGATATATATCTTTATACCTGCTTGTTTACTCTTGCTAGGTTGTGATTAGTGCACTGCCTTGCTATTATAACTGTGCATGTGAACTGGCCTTATGGCCGATTGCTTGTGCTCAGATTGTGTGGTGTCCTTGAGATCCACCCTGAGCTTTGCTTTGCTTTGTTCTCTTGCTTGACTGGTGTTGTGACCGTTCGTTGTGTTTGCTATCCCCCACTTTGCCTATGGGGGTGTGTCATATTACATTTGTATGTGTAGGCTTTAGTGGGGTAGCCTCTACTGAGTACAACACCTTAGGTCAAACCTAGTACTTGTACTCATCCTTGCTTCCTAGACAATCATTCCTGCACGGTTGATTCAGACACTTTTATCCGGGGGACTACGGTATCAACAACCCCGCAGCAAGTCATGGTCCATCCACCCACCTTCACACCAGGTCGCCCGACGCCCATCCAAGAACCATAATCACCTCCAGCTCTGATCCAAGTGAAGCTTTTGTCCCCTGTGGAATTTTACTTATCATCACTCCCTCAAAAGGTTGTGTGCCGTAGGCTTATGGAGTTATACGGTATGTAGAGTGAGTCCGACCCTACCCCCTACACATTTAGACTGTTCAACTCCATGGCAAATGCCTTATGCACCCCAGAGACCTTCACGACAAACACTACACCCGGTTTCCTGTGCATCTTAATCAGCACAAAAGGTCAGATAGCTACTGGTAGAGCTCTTTCAACTCCTTGGCAAATGTTTTATGGATCACGTTGCGCTTTATTTTCAAGGCAGGTGTCACGAGGCCGGTTTCGGGCAGCCATGGATCGGGCAGCAGCTTGATCCTTGCGGGCACCTCAAACTTGTTGAGGCTTGCGTCCTTGCTCACCTGGAATAAGGGAAGAATGGAAGATATACCGTCATCGCCCGGATATAAGACAGTGTTGAATAGTAGACAGGGGTTGTCTACTATACGGGTGTCTCTTATAAACAGGCAAGCTTTTTTATACGACACCTATTTGTGTGTACGAGATAAGACATATATGTCTTATAATCAGAACCGGGGTTTAGGGGTTTTCTTATAAACAGGGGGTGTCTTCTAAACGAGCCTACACTACTTTAGGGGGGTACATCCATACATTCATGAATCCCTACTTCTACCTAACCCCCCTCAGTAACCGCCTCCTCTGCAGCACTAGCAACAGGCTCTACGCCCAGGTCTGGCACTCGCCAGGCATGCCTAGCCGTCTCCCTTGGCTCGATCATGCGGTCAGCCTCGGCCGCCGCTCCGCGGTGGTTGGGGGTCTCCTGGTACAGCACCTCCAGGCCAATTGCCACGGCCACCTCCCGCACGCCCTCCGCCTGCATCGCCTCCTCCTCCTCCTCCTCCTCCTCCTCCTCCTCCTCCTCCTCCTCCTCCTCCTCCTCCTCCTCCTCCTCCTCCTCCTCCTCCTCCTCCTCCTCCTCCTCCTCCTCCTCCTCCTCCTCCTCCTCCTCCTCCTCCTCCTCCTCCTCCTCCTCCTCCTCCTCCTCCTCCTCCTCCTCCTCCTCCTCCTCCTCCTCCTCCTCCTCCTCCTCCTTCCTCCTCCTCCTCCTCCTCCTCCTCCTCCTCCTCCTCCTCCTCCTCCTCCTCCTCCTCCTCCTCCTCCTCCTCCTCCTCCTCCTCCTCCTCCTCCTCCTCCTCCTCCTCCTCCTCCTCCTCCTCCTCCTCCTCCTCCTCCTCCTCCTCCTCCTCCTCCTCCTCCTCCTCCTCCTCCTCCTCCTCCTCCTCCTCCTCCTCCTCCTCCTCCTCCTCCTCCTCCTCTCCTCCTCCTCCTCCTCCTCCTCCTCCTCCTCCTCCTCCTCCTCCTCCTCCTCCTCCTCCTCCTCCTCCTCCTCCTCCTCCTCCTCCTCCTCCTCCTCCTCCTCCTCCTCCTCCTCCTCCTCCCTCCTCCTCCTCCTCCTCCTCCTCCTCCTCCTCCTCCTCCTCCTCCTCCTCCTCCTCCTCCTCCTCCTCCTCCTCCTCCTCCTCCTCCTCCTCCTCCTCCTCCTCCTCCTCCTCCTCCTCCTCCTCCTCCTCCTCCTCCTCCTCCTCCTCCTCCTCCTCCTCCTCCTCCTCCTCCTCCTCCTCCTCCTCCTCCTCCTCCTCCTCCTCCTCCTCCTCCTCCTCCTCCTCCTCCTCCTCCTCCTCCTCCTCTCCTCCTCCTCCTCCTCCTCCTCCTCCTCCTCCTCCTCCTCCTCCTCCTCCTCCTCCTCCTCCTCCTCCTCCTCCTCCTCCTCCTCCTCCTCCTCCTCCTCCTCCTCCTCCTCCTCCTCCTCCTCCTCCTCCTCCTCCTCCTCCTCCTCCTCCTCCTCCTCCTCCTCCTCCTCCTCCTCCTCCTCCTCCTCCTCCTCCTCCTCCTCCTCCTCCTCCTCCTCCTCCTCCTCCTCCTCCTCCTCCTCCTCCTCCTCCTCCTCCTCCTCCTCCTCCTCCTCCTCCTCCTCCTCCTCCTCCTCCTCCTCCTCCTCCTCCTCCTCCTCCTCCTCCTCCTCCTCCTCCTCCTCCTCCTCCTCCTCCTCCTCCTCCTCCTCCTCCTCCTCCTCCTCCTCCTCCTCCTCCTCCTCCTCCTCCTCCTCCTCCTCCTCCTCCTCCTCCTCCTCCTCCTCCTCCTCCTCCTCTCCTCTCCTCCTCCTCCTCCTCCTCCTCCTCCTCCTCCTCCTCCTCCTCCTCCTCCTCCTCCTCCTCCTCCTCCTCCTCCTCCTCCTCCTCCTCCTCCTCCTACTCAGCTCCTCCTCCTCCTCCTCCTCTCCTCCTCCTCCTCCTCCTCCTCCTCCTCCTCCTCCTCCTCCTCCTCCTCCTCCTCCTCCTCCTCTCCTCCTCCTCCTCCTCCTCCTCCTCCTCCTCCTCCCTCCTCCCTCCTCCTCCTCCCTCCTCCTCCTCCCTCCTCCTCCTCCTCCTCCTCCTCCTCCTCCTCCTCCTCCTCCTCCTCCTCCTCCTCCTCCTCCTCCTCCTCCCTCCTCCTCCTCCTCTCCTCCTCCTCCTCCTCCTCCTCCTCCTCCTCCTCCTCCTCCTCCTCCTCCTCCTCCTCCTCCTCCTCCTCCTCCTCCTCCTCCTCCTCCTCCTCCTCCTCCTCCTCCTCCTCCTCCTCCTCCTCCTCCTCTCCTCCTCCTCCTCCTCCTCCTCCTCCTCCTCCTCCTCCTCCTCCTCCTCCTCCTCCTCCTCCTCCTCCTCCTCCTCCTCCTCCTCCTCCTCCTCCTCCTCCTCCTCCTCCCCTCCTCCTCCTCCTCCTCCTCCTCCTCCTCCTCCTCCTCCTCCTCCTCCTCCTCCTCCTCCTCCTCCTCCTCCTCCTCCTCCTCCTCCTCCTCCTCCTCCTCCTCCTCCTCCTCCTCCTCCTCCTCCTCCTCCTCCTCCTCCTCCTCCTCCTCCTCCTCCTCCTCCTCCTCCTCCTCCTCCTCCTCCTCCTCCTCCTCCTCCTCCTCCTCCTCCTCCTCCTCCTCCTCCTCCTCTGGAGCCTTCCGAAGCAGGCGCGTGTTGTCGCCTGTGGTCCCCCCGAGGGACATGTTCTCGGAGACATCGGTGGTGCTCCTGGCGCGCAGGTGAGACATCACCAGGTGGTTCTCCGTTCCGTCCAGCTTGCTGGAGATCCCACAGTGGCGGAACGCGTCGATGATGATCTGCCTGGGGACTTGATCCCAAGCCTCCGCGATCCACTGCAGCACCACGGGGTGCGGAGGCCTCCGCAGGTTCCCTGCGGGTGGGACAGAGGACACGGCAGCGAGATGTTAACGATAAGGACACGAAACAGAGCAGGAATTTAAAATGAACAGCCAACTCACCCTTCTTCGTCTTCAGGTGAATCCCTTAACGCATGAACCACCTGGCGTAGCGCGCTCGCACGGCAGCCTTGAAGCACCGGTTGTTGGAGACGTCCAGGGGTTGAATCTGGCTCATACAACCCGCTGGAATGACTGCAGGGGTGATGCTGTGCGTGCGGTACGACTGAAGCATGGTCTGGGTGATGTGGCCGCGGTAGGAGTCCAACACCAGCATCGCACGCCTCGCGCTCTTGCCGCGCTGGGGGTTCAGATGGGGAAGCAGGTCTGCACAGCGCTCTCGTCCATCCACCCGTTGTCCTGTGCTTGGACCACGATTCCTGCCAGGCACACAAGGGACAGACGGACATCAGCACAGTGGGGCACGCTCATGAGGCAGGGGCAAGGTTGATGTCATGGCGCTTACCGTCCGGAATCTCACAGTTGGGGACGTTCTTCATCTTGAACCACACCCACGGCCGCAGCTTCTCCCCGGATGCAGTGCACGCGAGCATCACCGTCAAGCGCGTCTTCTGGTAGCCTGCAGTGCGGATTGGGACCGAGCGCGCGCCACGGTGCTCGATCGTCCTCTCGGCCGGCATCTCCACGAACAGTGGCGTCTGGTCCGCGTCGATGATACGGGCCAGGTCGATGTTGTGCCGCGCCCTGTTGATGCGCACGAACTTCCAGAAGGACTCGCAGTCCTTCGCGCACTCTGCAAACGGGACAGGAACAGAAGCGAGGGACGGTTAGACAACGAGCAAGGTAAGACATGTATACAATGGGCCGTGCGCGGCACGAACTCCTTATCCACGCACCTGCTGACAGACGTTGTCCGACCTTCGTCTTCACCCGCATCACCAGGTTCCAGCGGTCACGGAAACGCTGGCTCCAGTGAGAGCTCGCATTCCAGTTCTTGCCGGGGTAATGCTTCTTCATCCACTCGCGGCTCCACTTTTGGGTGTCCTTCACCGAGATGGCCACCCCGTTAGCGCGCTGAAGGCAGATGTAGCGGTACAACGCTGCCTCCATGTCGGGGTAGTGTGCGTGGCGGCCCCCCCCGTGCATCCGCTTGCGGCAGTTAGCCGCGCCCTTGTAGATGCCCGCAGCCGCCTCCGCGCACCAGCGTCTGATGCAGGCGACGCTCGCGGTTGACTCCAAGCTAGTCTTCTTCAAGGAGCCGAGCTCCTGATAGCGGCGCGCCCACTTAACCTTCTCACGCACGGTCCAGCCGCGGCGCTTCTTCGTAGTATCTTTGCTGCGAGGGGAAGGTGGGCGGGTGTTGGGATTATGGAGGGTAGGGTCCTTCGGCGCCTCCTTCTCAGGGAACGAGGGAATCGGGCCCGCCGCCGCCGCGTACTCATCGTCGCTGCCCAACGCCTCGTTGACGATGATGTCGTCAGGATTCGGCGCCTTCTTCGCCTTTTTCTTTGCCGCACCCTTGCTGGATCCAGGGTCTCCGTCGTCCTTGCGCTTCTTGTTGCTTGTGCGGCCACGAGCAGGGGCCTTTGCAGGGGCCTTAGCAGGGGACTTAGCAGGGGCTTCCACGACCTTTGCCTTTCCCTTCTCCGCAGCAATGAGTAGGGGGCGACGCTCCTCCCCGGGACTGTCGTCGTCACAGAGCACCACGCGGGCGCGCTTCGTCGTGGACTGTAGGCGATGGCGCAGCTTCCGCTTCAGTAGCGGAACGTCGTCGTCTGTCCCAAGGCTCCACGGGTCGTCGTCGTCGCCCTCACCCTCAAATAAGACGGCATCCGCAGCCACCTTGTCCGCCTCCGCCACCGCGTCCGCATCCGCAGGCGCCTCTGTCTCGAGTTCCGCCGCCGCCTCGTCGGCAGCCTCATTCGCATCCACCGCCGCTTCCTGTGCCTCCGCGTTGTCACCGCCAGCATCTTCACCTCCGTCGTTGTCGGAATCACCAGCCCGCCACTCTTCCACCTCGTCGTCGCTCCCGACCGGCTGATTCCACCATTCGTCCTCCTCGATGTCGGCAGTACCAAATTCGTCGCCCGAAGCGCTGTCATCGTGGCCGTTCTCCGGCCAATCCTCCTCGGCGTCGTCGCCGTGTGCTTCGTCTCCGTCTTCCCCGTCACAGCTCGCACCGGAGGCGGCGGTAGGACTTCCCGCCTTGCTCGCGTTCTTCGCCATGGCTACGCGGATGTCATCGCCGGACGAGTTAATTCGCCCGTAGTTATTCACCTGCACGTGAGGACGAGGTGAGGACTTGCCTAGGGGTACCTTGCTGCGCATGGTTAGAGAGCCTGCCGAGAGCAAGGTTGAGGTGAGAATTCAACCTCCATGAGCACCAAATGAAGTGAAAGCCCGACTACCCCCCCCAGCCAGAGTGCCCCATCCACAGGTGCCGAGCCGCTCCTCTACGAGGCATCTCCTCGTAGAGGACAGCCTGACGCTGCCAACGTGCTGCCAACAGCGTTCTGGAAGCTGCCATGCGCTGCTGGCAGCAAAACGACGCTGGCAGCATCATTAGATGCTGCCAGCACAGAGGAATCTTGCCAGCGGTGGCAGCTTTGCTGCATCACCACCGAGGTCGGCCTGTTTCAATGAATCTGGTCCCTGGGTGTTTTCTACACACTTTGCAAGTGTTACAGTCAACTTAAATTTTTTTCCATTTATAAGAATTATAAGACACCATAAACCATCCCGTTTACAAGATAACTCAAGCATTTTTGCCCGTGTACGAGATAAGACATATATGTCTTATATCCGGGCGATGACGGTAATGGAAGAAACGATGGAAAAAAGTATGGAACAAATCATGGGAGAAATCACTGAAAAAACACTAGAACCAAGTAGTGCAACACCTATGAAAGAAAGCATGCAAACAGAAACAGGAAAACATACCTTCTGCAGGCAAACAGAAACAGGAAAACATACCTTGTGCAGGCAAACAGAAACAGGAAAACATACCTTGTGCAGGCGAACAGAAACAGGAAAACATACCTTGTGCAGGCAAACAGAAACAGGAAAACATACCTTGTGCAGGCATCTCAACACTTCCCCCACCACGTCCTCCCTTGCACACAGCTTTGCATAATCCTCCTCCTCAATCCCTTTCCTCTTGGCGAAATCCGTAACCGCAGCCGGCACCGGCACCACCAGCGCTACAGCACACGACTTGGTTGAATCCGCAAAGACCAGCAGGTTATCGACAAAGGGGCTGACTTGCAGCACGGCCTCGACCTTGCCGAAGGAGACGTACTCCTCGTGCTGCAGCTTGACTATGTCCTTCTTACGGTCCATGATCTGAATGCACCCGTCTGGATGCACGGCCCCGATGTCCCCCGTGCGGAACCACCGCATGCCCTGTGCGTCTTTTGAGACGTCTCAAAACATGCCCTGTGCGTCTTTTGAGACGTCTCAAAACATGCCCTGTGCGTCTTTTGAGACGTCTCAAAACATGCCCTGTGCGTCTTTTGAGACGTCTCAAAACATGCCCTGTGCGTCTTTTGAGACGTCTCAAAACATGCCCTGTGCGTCTTTTGAGACGTCTCAAAACATGCCCTGTGCGTCTTTTGAGACGTCTCAAAACATGCCCTGTGCGTCTTTTGAGACGTCTCAAAACATGCCCTGTGCGTCTTTTGAGACGTCTCAAAACATGCCCTGTGCGTCTTTTGAGACGTCTCAAAGCATGCCCTGTGCGTCTTTTGAGACGTCTCAAAGCATGCCCTGTGCGTCTTTTGAGACGTCTCAAAGCATGCCCTGTGCGTCTTTTGAGACGTCTCAAAGCATGCCCTGTGCGTCTTTTGAGACGTCTCAAAACATGCCCTGTGCGTCTTTTGAGACGTCTCAAAACATGCCCTGTGCGTCTTTTGAGACGTCTCAAAACATGCCCTGTGCGTCTTTTGAGACGTCTCAAAACATGCCCTGTGCGTCTTTTGAGACGTCTCAAAACATGCCCTGTGCGTCTTTTGAGACGTCTCAAAACATGCCCTGTGCGTCTTTTGAGACGTCTCAAAACATGCCCTGTGCGTCTTTTGAGACGTCTCAAAACATGCCCTGTGCGTCTTTTGAGACGTCTCAAAACATGCCCTGTGCGTCTTTTGAGACGTCTCAAAGCATGCCCTGTGCGTCTTTTGAGACGTCTCAAAGCATGCCCTGTGCGTCTTTTGAGACGTCTCAAAGCATGCCCTGTGCGTCTTTTGAGACGTCTCAAAGCATGCCCTGTGCGTCTTTTGAGACGTCTCAAAACATGCCCTGTGCGTCTTTTGAGACGTCTCAAAACATGCCCTGTGCGTCTTTTGAGACGTCTCAAAACATGCCCTGTGCGTCTTTTGAGACGTCTCAAAACATGCCCTGTGCGTCTTTTGAGACGTCTCAAAACATGCCCTGTGCGTCTTTTGAGACGTCTCAAAACATGCCCTGTGTGTCTTTTGAGACGTCTCAAAACATGCCCTGTGCGTCTTTTGAGACGTCTCAAAACATGCCCTGTGCGTCTTTTGAGACGTCTCAAAACATGCCCTGTGCGTCTTTTGAGACGTCTCAAACATGCCCTGTGCGTCTTTTGAGACGTCTCAAAACATGCCCTGTGCGTCTTTTGAGACGTCTCAAAACATGCCCTGTGCGTCTTTTGAGACGTCTCAAAACATGCCCTGTGCGTCTTTTGAGACGTCTCAAAACATGCCCTGTGCGTCTTTTGAGACGTCTCAAAACATGCCCTGTGCGTCTTTTGAGACGTCTCAAAACATGCCCTGTGCGTCTTTTGAGACGTCTCAAAACATGCCCTGTGCGTCTTTTGAGACGTCTCAAAACATGCCCTGTGCGTCTTTTGAGACGTCTCAAAGCATGCCCTGTGCGTCTTTTGAGACGTCTCAAAGCATGCCCTGTGCGTCTTTTGAGACGTCTCAAAGCATGCCCTGTGCGTCTTTTGAGACGTCTCAAAGCATGCCCTGTGCGTCTTTTGAGACGTCTCAAAGCATGCCCTGTGCGTCTTTTGAGACGTCTCAAAGCATGCCCTGTGCGTCTTTTGAGACGTCTCAAAACATGCCCTGTGCGTCTTTTGAGACGTCTCAAAACATGCCCTGTGCGTCTTTTGAGACGTCTCAAAACATGCCCTGTGCGTCTTTTGAGACGTCTCAAAACATGCCCTGTGCGTCTTTTGAGACGTCTCAAAGCATGCCCTGTGCGTCTTTTGAGACGTCTCAAAGCATGCCCTGTGCGTCTTTTGAGACGTCTCAAAGCATGCCCTGTGCGTCTTTTGAGACGTCTCAAAGCATGCCCTGTGCGTCTTTTGAGACGTCTCAAAGCATGCCCTGTGCGTCTTTTGAGACGTCTCAAAACATGCCCTGTGCGTCTTTTGAGACGTCTCAAAACATGCCCTGTGCGTCTTTTGAGACGTCTCAAAACATGCCCTGTGCGTCTTTTGAGACGTCTCAAAACATGCCCTGTGCGTCTTTTGAGACGTCTCAAAACATGCCCTGTGCGTCTTTTGAGACGTCTCAAAACATGCCCTGTGCGTCTTTTGAGACGTCTCAAAGCATGCCCTGTGCGTCTTTTGAGACGTCTCAAAGCATGCCCTGTGCGTCTTTTGAGACGTCTCAAAGCATGCCCTGTGCGTCTTTTGAGACGTCTCAAAGCATGCCCTGTGCGTCTTTTGAGACGTCTCAAAGCATGCCCTGTGCGTCTTTTGAGACGTCTCAAAGCATGCCCTGTGCGTTTTTTGAGACGTCTCAAAACATGCCCTGTGCGTCTTTTGAGACGTCTCAAAACATGCCCTGTGCGTCTTTTGAGACGTCTCAAAACATGCCCTGTGCGTCTTTTGAGACGTCTCAAAACATGCCCTGTGCGTCTTTTGAGACGTCTCAAAGCATGCCCTGTGCGTCTTTTGAGACGTCTCAAAGCATGCCCTGTGCGTCTTTTGAGACGTCTCAAAGCATGCCCTGTGCGTCTTTTGAGACGTCTCAAAGCATGCCCTGTGCGTCTTTTGAGACGTCTCAAAGCATGCCCTGTGCGTCTTTTGAGACGTCTCAAAACATGCCCTGTGCGTCTTTTGAGACGTCTCAAAACATGCCCTGTGCGTCTTTTGAGACGTCTCAAAACATGCCCTGTGCGTCTTTTGAGACGTCTCAAAACATGCCCTGTGCGTCTTTTGAGACGTCTCAAAACATGCCCTGTGCGTCTTTTGAGACGTCTCAAAACATGCCCTGTGCGTCTTTTGAGACGTCTCAAAACATGCCCTGTGCGTCTTTTGAGACGTCTCAAAACATGCCCTGTGCGTCTTTTGAGACGTCTCAAAACATGCCCTGTGCGTCTTTTGAGACGTCTCAAAACATGCCCTGTGCGTCTTTTGAGACGTCTCAAAACATGCCCTGTGCGTCCTCCTGCTTGCAGGCAGGTGGGTGAGTGTCGGAGGGAAGGTCAAGAAGTATGGTTATCCATCAAGCACCAGCTATCAGCACGGCTCCAATGTCACCCGTGCGAAACCACCTCATGCCCTGTGGGTCCTCCTGTTTTGCACGTGAAGCAAGTCAAACAGAGTAAGCTTAAGTCAAGTCAAGTCAACCAAGTCAAGCTGGTCGGGCAATCTAAGCGAGTCAAACCAGTCAACCACTCACCGAGAACACCTCTGCAGTCTTCTCCTTGACCTTCCAGTACCCCAGGCTCACCTTCGTGTGAGTCAAGATAGTCAAGTCAAGTAAGTCAAGCTAGTCAACCACTCACCGAGAACACCTCCTCCGTCTTCTCCTTGTCCTTCCAGTACCCCAGGCTCACGTTCGGGCCGGTCCTTCCAGTACCCCAGGCTCACGTTCGGGCCGCCAATCAGAATCTCCCCTCGCGGGTGCGGGTGGTCTGTCGTGCGGTAACCACCTTCCTCCCAGTCGATCAGCTGAGGGGAGGAAGATGGGGGATTGGCAAGTGGGAAGGGACGATTATGGAAGTCCGTCAAGGGACAGAAAGGAGGGAGGAGTGGGAAGAGCAGTCGGTAATGCGGTAACCGCCCTTCTCCCAGTTGATCAGCTGAGGGGGGCAAGAAGGGTAAGGGTGTGGGTAATGAAGGATGAACCTTATATGCAGATGTAACTCATCCTTAGCAAATCATAGAGAAAGGGACGTTGTCCTTAGCGAATCATAGAGAAAGGGACTTTGTCCTTAGCAAATCATAGAGAAAGGGACTTTGTCCTTAGCAAATCATAGAGAAAGGGACTTTGTCCTTAGCAAATCATAGAGAAAGGGACTTTGTCCTTAGCAAATCATAGAGAAAGGGACTTTGTCCTTAGCAAATCATAGAGAAAGGGACTTTGTCCTTAGCAAATCGAATCTTACATGCCAATCCTTATCAGCGCCACCTTGTTTGCGATCAGTTGACTTGCAAGAATTGTAGCAAGAAACAAACATCTTAGCCCACAAGCCCAATTGTGTCGCAACCACGTTGATGGTACTTCTGAGAATTCTCAAAAGTACCATCATTGTAGCAAGAAACAAACATCTTAGCCCACAAGCCCAATTGTGTCGCAACCACGTTGATGGTACTTCTGAGAATTCTCAAAAGTACCATCATTGTAGCAAGAAACAAACATCTTAGCCCACAAGCCCAATTGTGTCGCAACCCACTGGTCTGCGCTTGCGTAGGATTTTCTTGTTGTGGCGCCGCAAGAAGCAAAATGAGACAATTCTGCTTCGCCTAAGAAGTCGTCTTGTTCGCATCATAACCCACCCGAATGGGGTTGCGGGGAATGGGAGGACCGAGGCACCCCACAGAATGTTACTGAGTTGTTAAAAAAACCCACGTGGCCGAACAACCCTCCTAAATCACCTTCCCAAAACTATCACCCGAAACACCCACTCGAATAAGGTTGCAGGGGCTGGGAGGCTGCACGCACTCAACAGAGGAGATTTTTGAGTCCAACCCACCCGAACCACCACCCGAACCATCACCCGAACCACCACCCGAACCGACACCCGAACCACCCACCCATACTAAAAGACCCACCCGAATGAGGTTGCAGGGGATGGGCGGCCCCACGCGGCCCACAGAGGAGTCGTCCCACTCTGAGAAAGTCCCCCCCGCTGCTGTCTCTGTCAGACCATAGCCCTGGCTGATTGGGATGCTGCAGGCATGGGGTGCAGGGAGGATGGGGCAAGGAGGATAAGGGGGATACAATGATAAGAAAGCAGGATCTTTAGACGGGGGCTGTACTCTCGCTGATGGGGATGCTGTGGGCCGGGACGGGGAAGGGGGGGACGGAAAGGGAGGGGATGAGAGGCCCAACGCGGCTGACAGAGGAGTCGTCCCACTCTGAGGAGGTCCCCCCCGCTGCTGTCTCTGTCAGCTCATAGCCCTGGCTGATGGGAATGCTGTGGGCATGGGCGGAGGTGCAGTGGAGAGGGAGGGGAGGGAGGGGGCAGACACGAGGATAAGGAACAAGCTTTGAAGCCCAAGTGTACGTAAACCTTGTGAATCATCTCGTCTTCAGGCATAATCATTCTTGAGCTTGGAGCGCAATCACAATCTTAGTCAAAACTCGCTAGACGCAGGATCAGAACTCACTTAAAGCAAATGTTCATGAATCGTTGCGAGTCGGGCGAGAGAGGCGCCCCTCCTGACAGCATGAAACGCAGATGCCCCCCTACTGCTGCTCGCACCTGGCGGGAGTGAAATGCAAGGTGGAGAACAAGGGGGGGGATACGTGGGGAATCGAGGGGAGATTAAACTGTTGTGAGTTGCGAGAGAGAGGAGCCCCCCCTGACAGCATGAAGCGCAGATGCCCCCCCACTGCTGTTCGCACCTGGTGAGGGGGCAATGAAGGAGTGAAATGGGAAGCTAAAGATGGGGAGAGTGCAGGTGAGAAAAAGGAGGTGGGGCAAGGCACAAACTTTTTAGGCACCTCAAAAGGAGGTGGGGCAAGGCATAAACGTCACCACCCCCAATTCCCCTCACCTCAACCCCACCTCCCTTTCCATCCCCTCCTCTTTCCTCAAAATCCACTCACCTTACGGAACACCAGCAGGTCCCAGAACAGCCGCTCCACGCCCCACGCGAGTGGGCTGATACACAAACACCCATCACTTTTCCGAGTCGACTCAAAAGTGGGCTGATACACAAACATCCATCACTTTTCCGAGTCGACTCAAAAGTCGGCTGATACACAAACATCCATCACTTTTGAGTCGACTCAAAAGTGGGCTGATACACAAACATCCATCACTTTTGAGTCGACTCAAAAGTGGGCTGATACACAAACATCCATCACTTTTGAGTCGACTCAAAAGTGGGCTGATACACAAACATCCATCACTTTTGAGTCGACTCAAAAGTGGGCTGATACACAAACATCCATCACTTTTGAGTCGACTCAAAAGTGGGCTGATACACAAACATCCATCACTTTTCCGAGTCGACTCAAAAGTGGGCTGATACACAAACATCCATCACTTTTGAGTCGACTCAAAAGTGGGCTGATACACAAACATCCATCACTTTTGAGTCGACTCAAAAGTGGGCTGATACACAAACATACATCACTTTTGAGTCGACTCAAAAGTGGGCTGATACACAAACATCCATCACTTTTGAGTCGACTCAAAAGTGGGCTGATACACAAACATCCATCACTTTTGAGTCGACTCAAAAGTGGGCTGATACACAAACATCCATCACTTTTGAGTCGACTCAAAAGTGGGCTGATACACAAACATCCATCACTTTTGAGTCGACTCAAAAGTGGGCTGATACACAAACATCCATCACTTTTGAGTCGACTCAAAAGTGGGCTGATACACAAACATCCATCACTTTTGAGTCGACTCAAAAGTGGGCTGATACACAAACATACATCACTTTTGAGTCGACTCAAAAGTGGGCTGATACACAAACATCCATCACTTTTGAGTCGACTCAAAAGTGGGCTGATACAGAAACATCCATCACTTTTGAGTCGACTCAAAAGTGGGCTGATACACAAACATCCATCACTTTTGAGTCGACTCAAAAGTGGGCTGATACACAAACATCCATCACTTTTCCGAGTCGACTCAAAAGTGGGCTGATACACAAACATCCATCACTTTTGAGTCGACTCAAAAGTGGGCTGATACACAAACATCCATCACTTTTGAGTCGACTCAAAAGTGGGCTGATACACAAACATCCATCACTTTTGAGTCGACTCAAAAGTGGGCTGATACACAAACATCCATCACTTTTGAGTCGACTCAAAAGTGGGCTGATACACAAACATCCATCACTTTTCCGAGTCGACTCAAAAGTGGGCTGATACACAAACATCCATCACTTTTGAGTCGACTCAAAAGTGGGCTGATACACAAACATCCATCACTTTTGAGTCGACTCAAAAGTGGGCTGATACACAAACATCCATCACTTTTCCGAGTCGACTCAAAAGTGGGCTGATACACAAACATCCATCACTTTTGAGTCGACTCAAAAGTGGGCTGATACACAAACATCCATCACTTTTCCGAGTCGACTCAAAAGTGGGCTGATACACAAACATCCATCACTTTTGAGTCGACTCAAAAGTGGGCTGATACACAAACATCCATCACTTTTGAGTCGACTCAAAAGTCGGCTGATACACAAACATCCATCACTTTTGAGTCGACTCAAAAGTGGGCTGATACACAAACATCCATCACTTTTGAGTCGACTCAAAAGTGGGCTGATACACAAACATCCATCACTTTTCCGAGTCGACTCAAAAGTGGGCTGATACACAAACATCCATCACTTTTGAGTCGACTCAAAAGTGGGCTGATACACAAACATCCATCACTTTTGAGTCGACTCAAAAGTGGGCGGATACACAAACATCCATCACTTTTCCGAGTCGACTCAAAAGTGGGCTGATACACAAACATCCATCACTTTTGAGTCGACTCAAAAGTGGGCTGATACACAAACATCCATCACTTTTCCGCCTCTCCTTACCTCTCCCCCACCACAGCACTCACCTTACGGAACACCAGCAGGTCCCAGAACATTCGCTCGATGCCCCACGCGCCGAAGCAGCCACCCTCATGTCAGCCAGGGGATGACTGCCCCACAGATACACACCCTCCCATAGCCTTAGCCCCCAACCCCCCTCCCCCGACAGGCGCCACTCACCTTTCTAAACACCAGCAGGCCCCAGAACAGCCGCTCCACACCCCACATGCTGAACCAGCTGCCCTCTATGGCCACCAGGCAGTGGCCACCCCACAGTTACACACCCTCCCCATTAGCCCCGTATCGGCCCCCCTACCACACCACTGCTCTCACCAACACTCGCAACGCACCTTTCTAAACATCAGCAGGTCCAAAAAGAGTCGCTCCACGCCGCACGCGCCAAACCAGCTGCCTTCTATGGCCGCCAGGCTGTGACCACCCCACACAGACATACCCTCCCCTTTAGCTCCCTCTCGGCCCCCCTACCACATCACCGCTCTCACCACCAATCTCACCATAACGCACCTTTCTAAACACCAGCAGGTCCCAAAACAGCCGCTCCACGCCCCACGCGCCGAACCAGCTGCCCTCGATGGCCGCCAGGCGCCGTGAGTAAGCGAGGTTGAAGAGCGTGCGCCTGACTGGTGGTGCTGCTGCTATCTGGAGGGGAGGGGAGGGAGGGGGAAGGAGAGTAAGCTAGCAAGTGGCAGACGACGCAGGCGAAAGGAAAATTTACCACTCTTTTTGCAAGGGTAGCGTGGGGCGCAGCTGCAAAGAGCGACAATAATCTCACCACGTTATGAAACAAATTTCTCACCGACTGCCCCCCACCAACATCATCCTCACAGTGTTCCACCCACATTATACTCATAGCACCTCTCTAATCTTCTCCAAAACTCACCTTGCGTCTCACAGTATCTTAATGCCACCATGCCATTCTGGACCATTCTGGACTCCAGAATGGACGGCACAGCCACCATGAGCATGCGGCGCAGCTGTAGAGATGGACACAAGGACAAGCCTCCCACAGTCTTTTTGAAATTTTCCCCACATAAACGCGCCCCTCCTTTCAGCGCACGGTACCGCCTAATCAGCTCACCTTGCATGTCACAGCATCCCTGATGCAGCCCAGAATGGCCGGCACTGCCACCTGAGTGTGGGGCGCAGTTGGATTGGAGAGAGCGATAGCTAGCATCGCACGTCAATATCACAGAGATGTTTCGCACTGCTTGCCCCCACATCTTTCTCACCTTGCGTCGCACAGCATCCCTGATGCGGTCCAGAATGGCCGGCACTGCCACCATGAGCGTGGGTCGCAGTTGCGGCGCATCCCCCTTGGTCCCGAGCTTGACCTTGGGCGCCATTTCAACGAGTGTGAGAGGAGACCCGTAGCCTATAGAACCCCCCACTGACACCGCTCCTAGCTGGGCAGGTACGAAGACAGGACAGAAGGTGGGGTGGATGCATAAGTTGGGTGCAGGGGAAACACAAGGGAAGAGCAGCGTCTCTGGTGAGTCTCCCTTGATGCCCGGCTTGACATTGGAACTCATGTAGACGAGCGTAAGAGGGGAGCCGTAGCCTATTGAACCCCCCACTGACACCGCTCCTAACTGGTGACAAGCACGGGCAGGGCAGCAAGTGGAGCGCATGAGATTGGGTGCAGGAACACAAGGGAAGAGCAGTTCTCAGGTGGTTCTATAGGGCTACGGCTCCCCACTCACTCTTTTATTCGCCTCAAAAATCGATCAGGGGGTGGGTGGGTGTACGGGGGTAGAGAAATGCTACTGCAGTCGGAGAGTAAGAAAACAACATTGAAATCTACCAGGTGATAAAAGAAGTGTTTTGAGACGCCTCAAAACACTTCTTTCATCAGTCGGAGAGTAAGAGAAAAACAGTAAAAGCTAGCCAGGTCACCCCTGCAGCCAGTTCGAGAACGTGTGACAAAGGCAGATAGGCAATGCACAATAAACCCCACTCGAAACCTTGAACCCTGAACCTTACACCCTGAACCTAAAACCCTGAACGCGTCTCCGTGGTTAGTGGTGGCTCTATTCCCAGTACAAACGTGCCAAGACTGTGTCTCGTTCGGGGTGAATTTTGAGTCGACTCAAAAGTTTCCTCAAAAGTCTTTTGAGTCGACTCAAAAGTTTCTCCGTGGTTAGAGGTGGCTCTATTCCCAGTACAAACGTGCCAAGACGGTGTCTGGTTCGGGAGTGAGTGTGGTAGTGGCAAAACTCAAGAAAACCGAACTTGAATGACTCGCCTCTGCAGCCAGCTCGAGCACGTGTGAGAGGGGCACATATGCGACGTACACATCATTGAAGTTGGCATCTGGCACTCACGTCCCGACATTACAATAGATGCCAAGACAGTGTTTCTGTTGTGCGAGAATGTGATAGTCCCACAACTCAGCTCAACTCATGCACTGACTCACATCTGCTGCTAGCTCGAACACGTGTGACAAGGGCAGGTATGCAATGTACACGTCATTGAAGTTGGCGTCAGGCACTTGCACACATGTGACATTCAAGCATGCTGCTGTGGTTCTAGAGGGTGATATTGGCGATTCAACTCAGCCAACGCACGCACCTCTGCTGCCAGCTCGAGCACGTGTGACAGGGGCAGGTAGGCGATGTACACATCGTTGAAATTGGCATCTGGCACTTGAGCCATGATGGCTGCAAAGACTGCCACCAGGTTGCCGTGTGATAGCATGACGGGAGGAAGGAAGGGAGACAGCAAAGAGAGAACGGGAGAGGAGAAGAATATGGGTGGGTGGAGGCACTTGAGCCATGATGGCTGCGAAGACTGCCACCAGGTTGCCGTGTGATAGCATGACGCCCTGAAGGGCGGGAGGGCAGGGAGAGCAGGGAGAGCAGAGAAGAAGGGCAGGGAGGGAGGCCGGGGGAAAGGGAGGGTGGGAAAAGGAAGGCAGAGTCAGAGGAGGATGGAAGCATTGGAGCCATGGTGGCAGCAAACACTGCAACTGGGTTGCCATGCCACCACCACCAGGACTCTCTCCAACAGCTTTTGAGACGTCTCAAAAGCACGCGCCAACAATTGGGAATACTAAATCAAGAAACTTTGTCAACCAATTTCTTACCTTGGCAAACTCATGAGGCACCCACCTTAGGCAAGTGGACAGCCAAGTGAAAAACCCTTACCTTGGGCAGCCCGGATGATCCTTTGCGTGTACATGATCACCGCCAAAACCCACCTTTGTCAACTGATGGGTACAGAATCAAGAATCACCACTCTGAGCACGCATCACTTACCTTGGGCAGCCCGGTCGATCCTGACGTGTACATGATCACCGCCAGATCCGACGGCTGTGGGAGCTCCGGCGTCACCGGCGACTCAACCCCGCTCTTCTCCACGTCAGCAAACGCCAGCAGCTTGACACCTGGCGCCAGCTGTCCCGTAGCAACTTTAGCCTCTGCTTCGGTGGGCCCTTTTCCAGCCTCGGACAGCGGGCGAGGCTCGGGCATCATGATGACGCGCTGCACTGTCTTGAGCTCGCCCTTGGAGGACGCCTCCTCCAGCTTCTCCAGCTGCTTGTGGTCACAGATCACTGTCGTCACCTCCGTCTGTTGTGGGACAAGGGAGGGGTGAACAGGCGAACACGGAAGGGGGGAGGGGGGGAAGTGGCGAAAGGGGGGGAGGCTTGAGACAGTATGAGTCGCCTCTCCAGCTTCTTGTGGTCGCAGGTCCCTGTCGTGACCTCCTTCTGTCGTGAGAGGAGAGAGGAAAAGGGAGTTTTTTTTTTTTTTTTTTTTTTTTTTCAAAAGTTTAAATAGATTCATAAATCACCCATTGCCACCTTGGCCTCTGCTTCGCACTTTCCTCTTCTCAACCATCGGTGTACCTCGCTTCACCATGCCATCACCCCTTTACCCTACCTCATTCAATGCGTGCACCAGCGCTTCCTGCCCCAGGGACGCATACACCATCACCACCACCAGGCTCTGCTGAAACGCGCCTTGCAGCGCCAAGTAAAAGTCCGCCCGGGTCTCCGCCACAATCGCCACCGCCTCCCCGCGCCCATGCCCCACATTCCTTAACCCCCCGCCAAACGCCTCCGCCCGATCCAACGCTCTAGAGTACGACTCCCACTCATACTCCCCGAATTCAAGCTTCTCTATCTCCTTCCCTTCCTCGTTGGTCACTGTTTCGCGGGAGAGGAATTTCCGCGTGCCGAGGAGCGGGCGGTGGTGGTGGCGGCGGGACGCGATGACGAAGAGAGAGGCGACGGTGGTGGCGCCGTCAAAGGGGATTTCGAGCAGCGTGGGGAAGTGCGCGTGACGGTAGGTCAGGCCGGGCGTGCCGGCGTCTAGAAGCACGCCGTACAGATGCCTCTTGGGGGTGGAGCTGGGGGTAGCGGGGCAGGGGGGAATGGAAAGACCGGGAAACAGGGAAGGGAGGGAGAGGGGAAGGGAGGGAACGGCAAGGAAGAGCAGCGTGGGGAAGTGCGCGTGGCGGTAGGTCAGGCCGGGCGTGCCCGCGTCCAGCAACACGCCGTACAGATGCCTCTTGGGGGTGGAGCTGGGGGGGCGAGGAAGGAGGGAATGGAAGGACCGGGAAACGAGGAGTCGGGAGTGGGGAAAAGGGGAGCGGCAAGGGAGAGAGATTGGCGCGTGGCGGTACGTCGGGCCGGGCGTGCCTGAGTCCAGCAGCACGCCGTACAGATGCCTCTTGGGGGTGGAGCTGGGGCGAGCGGGGGATAGGGAGCAGGAATCGTTGAGAATTCATGGAGAACACCCATTATCCAGCACTGAACCTACTGTCGAGCAGTGTAAGCCGAGCACGGTACAACAGGTACTGCACGGTACAACAGGACAGGTACTACTGCGTGATGATGACGACCAGGAAGGCCACGGCGACAGAGGTAGCGATCGGGTTGAATTCCAAATTCCACATTCTAAACGAGACAGCCATCAGCCAAAGCTAGTACACGCAGCGACGGTTACCTCAGGTACTGCACGATGATGACGATGATCAGCAAGGCCACGGCGACGGGAACGACGACCAAACTGAATTCCAATTTCTCTAAAAGGCAGCCATCAGGCAACGCTAGTCCAAGCAGCGACGGTTACCTGAGGTACTGCACGATGATGACAACCAGGAACGCCACGGCGACGGGAATCACGAACGGATTCAACCCCTCCATCGCCTCCACGAGACGCGGACCGATGATAGGCAGCATGCGAGCGATCTCCACCGACGCCATGGCGACACTAAGCGGATGAAGATGTAAGCGAATTTAGAAAAATCTCGAAATACGCCTACAACACGACAATGAGAGTGCGACTAGTCTAGGGATGACCTCGTCCGCCTAAGTTCAGAGCTACTCCCAGGTTCAGAGATAAAATCAAATCTGGGAAGTCGTTTCGGAAGCCTGGAAGGAAGCCAAGGGGAAGAACCTTTTCCGCCTTGTTGTGACAGAGATCGACGGCGTGTGATGGATCTCTTGAGCAGCCTGATAGTACTACCTCGGTAAAGCGAACGATCACATGCAATCTGCGGCTTGTGCAATGGCCAGATCGCACGCTACCTCGAGATCCACGCCTCGCGAATTCAGCGGTGAGCTCTACGTGACGTACCCATGATTTGCTTCTCTCATCCCAGTCACTTCATTCCTGTGTCTGGCTGGAGTTAGGTCGTGGGTCGTATTCCCGGCCGATCATTCTGCCTGTGACGGGTGCATCTAGCACATGAGTTGCAATTTGGAACCGTAACAATCGAGATCTTTTTCGACACCAGGTGCTGTGGTACAGACTAAAGTTCTTCGATAGAACCCTCTTTCGTTTTAATAAAACCGGCCTTGAAGAACCGCGTGTTGTTTGTTCGTGCTTTCTGGACCACCTTCGCGACGTGTGAATGAACCAAGCATTTCAACGAGCGGTCGGGATGAGGCCTAAAGAATTTCAACGGGTGGATGGATTTCATGAAAACTTGGCGCTTGGTGCTTGGATATCGAGCATCTCAGATCCGCCGAAGTTCGCGCGCTAGGGAAACGAGTGATCAAAATCATATGTTTACCAGCAAAGTTACAAATAAATCCAGCATTTCAGAAGGTGTGCGTAATCATTGTAAAGAAACACTGGAGGATTCTTTCTCGCGTACAGCGCAGGACCGCAGCCAATCGGACGCGATTTGGCTCCCGCACATTCCGTGAAACAATCAAGTTTTTCCCGCCGTACGTCCGGCAAATCAGCTTCATTTCCAGCTCAGGAGACAAGAGCAACCCACACCACAAAAGCGGACCCCGCTCCATTCTGAACCACAACCTTGTTGGTTGGATCAGAATTTGTGAAGGTCGCGTGCTCTCGCAGCTACTGTGCAAGCCACTTCTGGACTTTTCGAAAGAATGTTACCGTGTTCGCTAACGCCCTCGTCAACTTCCCCTCACCCTATCCTCTTCTCCCCCACCACCACCTTCAAGCACCCCAGAAACATAGAACCATGGCTACCGTGCTGCTGTGTATATTTTGACTGCTTTCATCAGCAGATACCAACTTCGAAGACATTTGAATCATGCACCTCTAGGCCTCGAAGTTCGGAGAATAACCCTTTCTTCTCAAGAACTCAAATCTCGAGCATTACAGGCCGAGCATTGCGTTCTGATCCTGCACCTCACTGCGTCGAAATTCCGGATTCAGAGCCACTAGCATTATAACTTTCTCTTCACCCTTCACCAAGATTCAGCCAGAGCTGTTTCTGTAGGCGTCCCTGTGAACTTCTTAGGCTAAACAGCGGGTAACGGGGGTCTTGGACGCCAATTCCCAGTGTCTTTTCTCAACCGCTGCAGCATCGCGTGTCCTCTCATTCATAACAGATTCCGTGTCTGTCGAGTCGCAGCAGTCAGACCTGATGGTTAGTTCGTCAACGACTACCACGCCACCAGCAGAAGCGAACGGCGCTGAGCATCAAAATGACGAATTTGATCCCAGGGGTACGGCTGAAATGTAAATGCTCACTAGAACATCCCGTTCTTTTCCGAAATAACTGAAACCCCAGGCGGCAGAACGTACAGACTTGACAGGGAAAATGTAGGATAACCTTCCGCTTATTCATTGTATTCTTGTCCTGGCGTGAAAGCTCTCGCACTTTTCACTGCGTACATGCGAGCTCAGTAACTAGGTCTACCGAGCTCTCAGGTCGTTTTTCTCCCTCGTTTTCCGACGTCACAAAAAAATCCTTCACAATCTACTCATCGCCATGCTCCCGTGTTGTTAACTTCTTCTCGGCCCTTTTCTATTCTCCGCGTCTCCTTCCTTCTCCAGAGGTGTGCATAGTGGGAGCAGCGCGCACGCCCATGGGAAGCTTCATGGGTTCGCTCTCCTCCCTCTCGGCCACCCAGCTCGGCGCCATCGCCATCAGAGGTCAGCAGTCTCACTCCTTGCCTTCTGCAAACTCTCTGTGAATCCACTCGAAAGCCACTCATTTCGGCGCCATTGCCTTCAGCGGTCAGACGTCCCATTCCTTGTCTGTTGAAATCTTTGAGTCAATCCAAAAGTCAGTGCACGGGTTCGCTCGAGTCCTCCCTCTATGCCACCCAGCTCCGCGCCATCGCCTTCAGAGGTCAGGCGTCTCACTCCATGCCTTCTGCAACTCTTATGAATTTACTCAAAAGTCACTGCACGGGTTCGCTCACCTCCCTCTCCGCCACCCACCTCGGCCTTTCCTATTCCCACACGCTGCCTGTCAGCTCGGTTCACCTCCATGCTCGCGCTTTCCTCTCTGCCGTCACCACCTAGAGAGGCGACACCTTTCTACCTTCCCGTTTGTCCTGCAGAGGCCGTGGGGAGGTCGCGCCTAGGCCTGGCGGACGTGGATGAGGTGTACATGGGCAAGGTGCTCAGTGCGGACCTGGGGCAGGCGCCAACTGGTCTTTGCATAATTGAATCCACCTTCGTCCCTCCCTCACTTGCTCTCTTGCAGAGGCCGTGGGGAGGTCAGGCCTAGGCCCAGCGGATGTGGAGGAGGTGTATATGGGCAACGTGCTGAGCGCGGACCTGGGGCAGGCGCCAGCCAGACAGGCGGCACTTGGGGCGGGGCTGCCGGACTCGGTGGTGGCAACCACCGTCAACAAAGTCTGTGCCTCTGGCATGAAAGGTGTGTGACGCGGTGCTGAGTGGTTGTGGTGTTGTGGTGTAGGCTCCAGCCATACAGGCACCAAGCAAGCAGGCAGGCGCCAGCCAGACAGGTGACACTTGGGGCAGGCCTGCCTGACTCCGTGGTGGCTACCACCGTCAACAAAGTCTGTGCCTCTGGCATGAAAGGTGTGTGATGCGGTGCTGACTGGCGTCACACGGTGTTGAGGGGCATGATGCGGTGATGAGGGGTGTAATTTGGTGCTGAAAGGTGTGATGTTAAGGGATAGGCGCCAGCCAGACAGGCGGCACTTGGGGCAGGTCTGCCTGACTCCGTGGTGGCAACCACCGTCAACAAAGTCTGTGCCTCTGGCATGAAAGGTGTGTGACGCGCTATGCCCACTGCCTGCAGCCATGTGCCTCGCCGCGAAGTCCATCATGCTGGGGCGGGCAGTCATGGTGGTGGTGGTGGTGGCAGGCAGACGTGTTGAGTCGTTCCAGTGCAGGGATGATGCAGCACGCCTGTTACATTGCATCGCCCTGCCACTCTCTCGTGCTTACCCCTTCCCGCATGCAGCCATATGCCTGGCGGCGCAGGCCATCATGCTGGGGCTGGCAGACGTGGTTGTGGCAGGCAGGGGCAGACGTGATAACCCATTCCTGTGTTAGGATGATCCACCTAGCCCCTTCAACAAGCCCCTTCAACAAGTACCTTCATTTCAACTATCCGTTCATTGCCTGGCCCCGCCCGCCCCTAAGCCTGCCTGCAGCCATATGCCTGGCGGCACAGGCCATCATGCTGGGGCTGGCAGACGTGGTGGTGGAAGGCAGACACTACGTTGCATTGCATGTCCCCTTATGGTGCCACTTTCTTGTGCTCCCCCAATCCCTGCAGCCATATGCCTGGCAGCGCAGGCCATCATGCTGGGGCAGGCAGACGAGGTGGTGGCGGGCGGAATAGAGAGCCCTTCCTGTACTGGCCGACGCGGTGGTGGTGACAGGTAGACATTACATTGGCTGACCCCTTACATGCCTTTCCCCTGCACTCCCCACTGTCTGCCTGCAGCCATATTCCTGGCAGCGCAGGCCATCATGCTGAGACTGGCAGACGAGGTGGTGGCAGGCAGGGGTAGACGTGATAACCCATTCCTGTGTTAGGATGATCCACCTAGCCCCTTCAACAAGGCCCTTCATTTCAACTATCCTTTCATTGCCTGGCCCCGCCCGCCCATTACTGCGTGCCTGCAGCCATCTCCCTGGCGGCGCAGGCCATCATGCTGGGACTGGCAGACGTGGTGGTGGCAGGCGGCATGGAGAGCATGAGCAACGCGCCTTACTACCTCAATAAGGCCAGGTGAGCCTACACTTACACGCCTTATAAGGCAAGGTGAGCAATATAAACCTCAATAAGGCCAGGTGAGCCTACACTTACACGCCTAATAAGGCAAGGTGAGCAATATAAGCCTCAATAAGGCCAGGTGAGCCTACACTTACACGCCTTATAAGGCAAGGTGAGCAATATAAACCTCAATAAGGCCAGGTGAGCCTACACTTACACGCCTTATAAGGCAAGGTGAGCAATATAAACCTCAATAAGGCCAGGTGAGCCTACACTTACACGCCTTATAAGGCAAGGTGAGCAATATAAGCCTCAATAAGGCCAGGTGAGCCTACACTTACACGCCTTATAAGGCAAGGTGAGCAATATAAACCTCAATAAGGCCAGGTGAGCCTACACTTACACGCCTTATAAGGCAAGGTGAGCAATATAAACCTCAATAAGGCCAGGTGAGCCTACACTTACACGCCTAATAAGGCAAGGTGAGCAATATAAGCCTCAATAAGGCCAGGTGAGCCTACACTTACACGCCTTATAAGGCAAGGTGAGCAATATAAACCTCAATAAGGCCAGGTGAGCCTACACTTACACGCCTAATAAAGTCCCACGGATCTGTGCTCATGAAGAAGGGCAGCAGTAGGCAAGGTCGCCTTTAGCAAAGGGATGATAGTCAACCAGTGAAAAAAGTAACCCTCGAAAAAATTGATTAAGATCCGAACGTACAACTCAGTTCAAACTCTAGACGAAAGCAAACATGTTTCGGCTTTGCAC